GTATGGTGAATGCAGTAAGTGACTGTTATCATCAATAACGTGACCTGATTAGCACAAAAGTTCAGAACATACAAAAACAGAAAAAAAACTTAACCTTACCTATGAAATGTTCTGCCTCTGTGCTTTGTTTTCTTTGTTTGCTCGTTACTACACCTGTAGACAGCGCTAAAGTCCCGCATCTTCACGTAATAACACTGTCTTGACTAGTGCGGTTGAATGACATTTGTCCTGGGAGCACTGTACCAATGTGGCGGCGCTATTGACGCATGCTCAGAGTCCCTATGCGATATCTAGTGTATATATCTATGTAGCAGTTTAACCAAACCTAGAAAGTTTCTCAAAAGGCAACCGGTTGCAAGTTCTGTCGTTTCCTACAAAGTTTAATGAAACCTGCGACAATCTTTTTTCAATATTGCTTTTAGGGAAACACACCGCTGACTGAATCGACTGCGTAAAATAACAGTTCAGAACATTAACTCATTTCCGCCCCTCCAGGACAGAGATTTGTGGCCCCTGCTCTAAAACAAGGAGCACTTACCTTGGACAGAGGTTTTCAATGCTTCAGCTAGAAAATGAAGAGGAAAAAAACGGGTCATTAAATGTGAAACGACAGCATGCAAGACAAGACAGGTCAATGCAGTTTATTTTAAAACCATTTCTCGCTCTCATGAGGGATCAGCTTAGAGAAACTCAATTTGGTTTTTTATCATTTTGTTACATTTTTAGTCTAAATAAAATGACTGATGTCAGGAGAATGTTGCTGTACAGGAGAATTTAAAGGGTGGTTTTATGAGCAACAAACAGACTGCTCTTACTGTGCCATTAGGTGGTCACATGATCTGTTTTGGGGAAAATAAGGGTGTTAGGCCTAACATTACTCCAAATTGCCTTTTTCACAGAAAGCTGACTAATAGGTCAACATAAGCAGAATTTCTGGAGGTTATGAACTATTGTTTGAAGCCATAAGCCATCATTATATAACAGAAGTGCAGCTCTTCTGAGTGTTGATGGTGTGTAATCCAGGTTTGGACGAATGCCTCACTGAGCTGCTACTGTCCTGATGGCTGGACTGTGTGTGTGTGTGTGTGTGTGTGTGTGTGTGTGTGTGTGTGTGTGTGTGTGTGTGTGTGTGTGCCATCTGTCAGACCTGCAGGACAGACAACTAACAAGCCCAGGGTCACACAAACACAATCACTACATGCTCTTTCTCTCATATACAGAAACACACATCATGTGTGTATATATGGTTTATGAGGACTCTCTATAGACCTTTTTCATGGCTGCTGCATGGAGGGCGACATAACGACCAGCGTCTTCCGGTAGAATGCTAAAAACTTCCGTTTACAGCATTTACAACTGGTAATTTGCGCTCCGAAAATGGGTTTCAATGATGTTTTTAATGGATTATAGAGTGTTTTTGTGACACACAACTTAGAAATGTGTCTGTTAAAGCCGTTATAATCTGTCACGTGTGGTTCAAGCGCGTCAGAAATACGAGAAAAACGTTCTCCTAGTTCACGTGTCTGCCGTCAGAAATACAGTGTTAGCTCAGCGGCTCTTTAACACACACACACACAGAGAGAGAGAGAGAGAGCGAGAGCGAGCAAACCAGAGTACTGGCATGAAACTTAACAGGTATGAAAGTCGTGCAAATTACAAAAATGAGCAATAAAAGTCTGTTATTGATCCTCTGCTGGTTTATTTGCTGTTCATTCTAATCTCGAGCCGTTTGTGTTTTATTTCGTGTGTTGTATTCACCACGGTTTGTGTTTTTCTGTCATTTCAAAATGACACTAGCCTATATTTTCACTTTGTCACAGTTATGAAATCAGTGTGTCAGTGGCACAGTACAGGCTACGTGTGTGTTTCAAACATTTTGGTGAATTACATATGTCTGGGCTGGTTATATATTTGAAATAAAGAGAAAATGTTGACTTTAGCAATGACGAGGCTTCATTTAAACTGCAGAAGATGCCGTACGTCTGACAATGAGGGGAAAATGCCTCACAGCTGCTGTTTTCCATCCTATTAGATCGCATTTCTTTAAATGATCAGTCCAGGAGATGGTGCTGATGGACAACAGTATTAGTTCAAAGAGGATAAGAGCAGGTAAAATAGATTAAAACTATCGTTTCAAAGCTGTCCAAATGTGACTGTTTACACGCATCAGCTGCCGACCGCAAGTTCTTCGCATTCTCCTTGCGCATACACGCAAAGCATCATGGGTAATTTTGCGTTCCAAGAAAAAGGTCTATAGTGTAAAAATGACTTATTTTATAGCCTTACCCCACCTCTAACCCTAAACCCAACCTCACAGGAAACAATCTGCACCTTTTCATTTTTTAAATACTCCATTCTGTGTGATTCATGATGCATTTTCCTCATGGGGACCAAAAAAAATGTCCCCATAAGCAGGGTGTGAATTATACATTGACGATCAGGGGGGGTCAACTTTTTCGGTAATGTTATTTGGTGTAATACATGCTTCAGTAAATCAAATTAAACGACATTAATTTATCTATGCTACATTTTTACTGTTGGTCAAACTACACTGAAAAAAATAATAATCAAAGATGATTCCTTGGATTTACTCAATTTTTTCACGTTAAGTGGTTTTAAACAATGTATTTATGTTGAATTTAAACAAACAAATTCATTAATGCATGCAGGGGCGAGGCAGTGGCGCAGTAGGTAGTTCTGTCGCCTCACAGCAAGAAGGTCGCTGGTTCGAGCCTCGGCTCAGTTGGCGATTCTGTGTTGAGTTTGCATGTTCTCCCTGCCTTCACGTGGGTTTCCTCCGGGTGCTCCGGTAAAGAGTAACTTACTGATGGACGTCAGGATGGGTTTCTTCCTCCATTTCTCAAGTGTAAGTACGTACGATTAAAGTTGTTGCCTCGTTGACTCGAGCTTGCAAGTGTATTTAGTTGTGATTTGTTACTTATAACCGCGTGTACTGTATCAGGTTAACTCACTATATTCTCATATCGGGTGCTAAGCCACGATTAAAACGTGACGCGTGCTGCTTTGTTTACAGAGCTCCGTGGAGGAGGAGTAGTGAGTGTGTGTGTGTGTGCGTGTGCGCGTGCTGTCGTCCGGAGGTGTGTGTGTTTGTGTGTTTGTGTGTGTGTGTGCGCGCGTTGTTGTCCGGAGCAGGGTTAAGTGTGTGTGTGGAATATGTGTGTGTGTGAAAAGAGCAGTGTGAGACAAGCTATGTGATCTCCTCAACTGTTTTTGGAGTTTTTGCTCAATAAAATAGTCAGTCGTCTGTATTTTCAAGTCCATCGACTGTATTTTCATTGACCCACTGGCCGCTAAAATCCACACCTACACTATCGAGCGTGTATGAACTGTGATTACTTTTATATTGCTGATTAGCTGTTGGGCATTTCACTCTCTGACTGAAGGCAGTCGACCAATCGCAACAGACTGTCATCGGTCCAATCAGCGCAGATTAGCTTCGCGCTAAGGAGGGGTTTGGGAACAAATGAATCACTGGACGATTCATACAGGAGTCGCTGGGATAATTAGGTAAAAATAAATGCAGATTATAAATCCAAGTGTTTTTAGACCTTGCATGCATATTAAACTGTTGTTGAAGACCCTTACAACCAAGATATGACCCTATTTCATGTATAATATGGGCTCTTTAACATAAGAAGAAAGGGCAGGCTAACCTGCAGCGTTCTTGCTGTGAGGCAACAGTGCTAACCACTGGGCCGCCCTGCCACCCTATCAGAAAAGGGGAGGAGTAGGGGTGGAAGGGGGGATTCCTCAAGACATAGATGACTGGAGTTGGAAACTCTGGTAATTTAGGGTGCACTCACACTGTGTACAGTTGCCTTGAACCAAGCCGAAGCACACTTGTGCCGTCTCCGACGGCCCGCACTCACATCACATTCGGGCTCGCTTACGTCATCGATGATGCGCTGTTCAGTAGATGTGCTCTCAAGATTTCTTGAGTTGTATCGCTTTAGTCGTTTCATATGCGGTGACACGCAGTCAGATATTTCGCCGAACAGATCAGCCACTGCTGACGCTCATAAACAATCATAAAGCCCTCGTGCTGCAGGTATTAGGAGGTTTGCTGAAGGTGCAGCTGTCGTGTAGTGAGGGGTTTGCGTCTTTAATAATCTAGGACAATTTGCGCTCATTAGACAGTAAGAATGGTTATTTACTCCGTATGAAACAGTCCCTTAAAAGTCACGTCTCGTCTTCAGTTTCGGGCTCTGGCGCGTTTTGCACTCACACTACAAGCATACCGCGTCTGACCCCAGGTGAACCACGCTCTGGCAAACCTCTTCCAACCAGGCCAGGGCTGTCCAACTAAACCATACCAGAGCCCGATTCAGAGCACTCACACTTCTCAAACATTCCGGGAAACGGGCCTAGGCACGGTTCGGTATTCGTCTGATTGGTGCAATATACGGAGCTGATGCAGTACCAGCTGTGATCAATCATAAGCACGTGATCCTCTCTAAATTAGTTTATAAATAAACCACACATGGCACAAATATCCTTATCAGAACACTACAACACCATTGCAGATCTTTTGGGATCGTGCAAAACTGAGAGATGAAGAGCAGATCAGCCTCACCAGCTGTGCTGCGTCAGAGTGTGTAGACGTTCTCCACGATTCTGTTCACACACAAACACACACATGTGTTTGAACCACTACAGACCGCACACAGCACACGTGATACACTCTTGATAATCACACTGATTATCATTTACAAACAAGATATTCAAAACAAAAATATTAAAATCCCTCCTGTGAAATGTTTATAAAAATTTTTATTGCTGTGAATTTTTTATATTTTCCCCAAGCTATCTTAAATAGAGCAAGGATTTTTTCATTAAATCATTCATTTTCCTACAGCTTAGTCTCCATTTCAGAGGTCGCCACAGCAGAATGAACCGTTAACTATTCTGGCATATGTTTTATGCAGCAGATGCCCTTCCAGCAGCAACCCAGTACTGGGAAACACCCATACACTCACACACACACACACACACACACACACACACACACACACACACACACACACACACACACACACACACACACACACTCATACACTATGGCCAATTTGGTTAATCAATTCCCCTGTAGCACATGTGTTTGGACTGAGGGGGAAACCGGAGCACCCAAAGGAAACACACGCCAACACGGAGAGAACATGCAACCTCCGCACAGAAATGCCAATTGACCCAGCTGGTACTCGAACCAGAGACCTTCTTGCTGTGAGGCGACAGTGTTAACCACAGAGCCACTGTGCCGCCTTGGGATGTTTTTTCTATTACAACTTATTTTTAGTTCACAAAAAAATGTTCACAGGACATTAAGGACACATCTATTATTTTTATGACAGTCTCAGCTTGCTGAAAACAAATAATCAGAAATGTTAAGGCAAATAAATCAAGGCATCACTCACCGCATCATACACCGCCACTGTTTTATCAACCGACCTGCAAGAAGAGAGCAAGCAGAGCTTGTTTTGTGTAGTTATTCACTAGATTTAAGGGTGAATAGTCTTAATATTGTTCAATTCCAGCATATTATGGGTTTTGTGTGTCTGTGACTGTGTTGCTGCATTAAACACTGAAATCAGAGTCTGACACCTGCTGGTCAAAATGTGTAAGATTTTGTTTCACATGAAGCTTTGGAAAAAATTAAGAGACCACGACCACTTGACAATTCTCAAGTTCTTCTGGGTTTACAGGATTTTTAAGTATGGCTTTGAGCAAAATGGTAATATTTGTTTATTCTATAAAGGTCTGACAAACAAACAAATAAAAATACAATTTTATTAAATAAAAAATAATGAATTAAATATATAAAAAATATATTAAATAAATAACAATTAAATTTAAATTAAATTAAATAAATAAAAATAAATAATAAAAATAAAAATAAATAATAAATAAATAAATAAAAATAAATAAACTGACAAATACATAAATGAAATAAATAATAAAATAAAATAAATAAACTAACAAAAAATAAAATAAAATAATAAAAATAACAATAAATGAATAAATAAATAAATAAATAAAATTAAAAATCTGGAATTTAAAAAAATCCTAAGTTTTCTTACAATAAATAAACTACAATTGCTCAGAATAAGAAATCTTTTAATATGCTGTGATTGATTTTGTAGCTCTTCTGAGGTTAAAACATTTGTGTTGTTGCCTAAAAATGCATTTAAACAAATAATAAATCTAAAAATTAATAAAATATGATTATTGGCCTGAAAATGTGATGACGTTTTGTTATAGATGGGGAAGAAAAGTTAAAAAAAGAAAAGCACTTCACCAAGATATCACTCAAACACATAACTCAAAATCACATCACACATTATATTCATTAATAAAATGACAACAACTATTAACAGAAAAAAAACTGAGACATAGAGAGAGAGAGAGAGAGAGAGAGAAAGAGTACTGCTTAAATCACTCAAAAACTCCACTACATGCAGAGAAAAAAAAGCAAAAAAAATCATATATTTTCAGGGCGGCACGGTGGCTCAGTGCTGGGTTGCATATGCTGTATGTAACATATGCTGTAGTAGTTGGCGGTTCATTCGGCTGTAGTGACCCCTGATTAATAAAGGGACTATGATGAATGAATAAATGATATATTTTCATGTTTTATGTATTGTATGCTGTTTTATTCCTTAATATTGACTCTGTCAAGGGAAGTTGGCCAGTAATTTTGCAGTGCTGTGATAAGTGGGTGGGGCTTACCCTGAGACGAGCAGCTGTCCGTCAAACGAGAAAGCACAGGCGAGAACAGGAGCAGATTGAGCAGAGAGAGAGAACAGCATAGACATCTCACAGCCTGCACACACAGACACATGACATTGTCCTCAGAATCTTTAACACACTAGGAAAACTCAAAGGTTCACAAAATCTGGTGTGCACAGGGTGTCTTAAAAAGTCATGGTCAAAGTCAAAATACCTGCTGTTGCATGCTGGGAAATATTCCATATCCTCAGTCGGCTATCCTGACCACCAGAGGCCAGACGGGACTCGAACCAGCGACCTTCTTGCTGTGAGGCAACAGTGCTAACCACTGAGCCACCGCATCGCCCTTGATTACTAATAAATATTAAATTAAACAATTTTATATGATGAAAACTTGAATATATATTTAAACAATCTCAAAGACTTTTCTAGGCAAGTTTTAGTTTTATGAGTAGTCAAACTTAAATATTGTGCAGGAAAAAGAAGCATTTTGTTACCAGTTGTATGATTCAGAATGCGTCAAAAACACATGCAGCCACATAATAATAATAATAATTATAATAATTTTAATAATAAAAAGTGTTAAGTAAAAAAATGCTTATTTTACAATTATTTATTATAAATGTATTAATTTATTTGACGTATTTTTGTTCCTATCTGCTATAAAGTTATAACTATAATATAAATTATAGCTATAATAAATATTTAACATAAACATCAATTAAATATCAATTCCATTGTCATACTTGTCAATGTTGTTATATATATATATATATATATATATATATATATATATATATATATATATGTGTGTGTGTGTGTGTGTGTGTGTGTGTGTGTGTGTGTGTGTGTGTAAATTCATATTTATCAGATTCCTGTTTAATAAATTATTCAAAAACGGAGGACATTTTCAAATCATATTATTACTTAATTCCTTAAAATAAGTCTCTTATATAAATAATAAAATATGTAAATTTTCTTAAAAATATTTATTGACAATGACGTTCTGCTTATGGTCTGAAAATTACTTCCCAAGTTTATTCATTTGTTTGTTTATTTAAAAGTATCTAAACATCTGTTTGCGTAATAATCAGATGTTTATGCAAATAAAGCGCCATGTTGTCTTCAAAAGTCTGACAAAAGTGCATGTTTTCTAGCCCATTACAACACATTAATAATGTTTCAATAATACGTTCAAACTCAAAAGGTTAAGCAGAACTGTTGAAACTCACCTGTTGGCAGATGAAAGTGCTGTCAAACACACAAACAAAAATGCATCAAGTAAATATATCAAACTAAAATATTCTGAAAATAAAATATCGACACAACAAAAGAGAAAACCAACACACCTAATTCCCGAAGCGAAGCTCCGTGTCAGTATAGAAAGGATACAGCTGCCGCTACTGCGCATGCGCGAATAGATACAGTCGTCTTTGCTACACGATACAACAATATTTGCTATTTAAATTACTGTCAGGTGTAGTTTACGGGTTTGGGCATGGGTAGACCATAATAAAACCCAATTTACCGGGTGATTTCATTAACAATAGAATTAATTCAACATTTCCGGAATGACACGTGACTGAAACTGAGCTCCGCGATATTATTCAGTGCAGTTTCCATCATAAACAAACAGAGATTATAATATTCAGAATGAGAAACTCGAGCTGAGAGAAGAAAAACACGGACACAGCTGAGAGAAATACTGTGCTCTTTAAACGGAAACAGGTTTGAAGATTAGGAAACTATCCCCATGCATCATCCAGTCACTGGCTCCATAGTAGAGTACTGATATATTGGTGCAGTTTTTGTTGTTGACATTTTATGAATTTTATGGCAAATTATAATGAAAAATGTTGCACAAAAGCCAAATACAACTATATATTAAAAAGTATAGATAATATTAACTTAAACTATTGGTACAATTCAATGAAAAAGATAAAACAGTGATCATAAACTGTGCAAAAATCATGAATATATCATTATAAACTGGATTTTTACCGTGTATTCAGCATTTTGAATTTACTACTACATTCACTGCCATGTTAGAATATATATAAAAGAAAAAAGCACAGTAATAACATGCATTCATTAATTTTCCTTCAGCTTAGTCCCTTTATTTATCAGGGGTCGCCACAGCGGAATGAACCACCAACTAATCCAGCAGTGGATGCCCTTTAAGTTGCAACCCAGCAGTGGTGGTAAGAGTACAAAAAAATTGTACTCAATTACAAGTACTGTTACATTGCTGAAATTGTACTCAATTACAAGTAAAAGTACTGGTGTTAAAAAGTACTCAAGTAAAAGTACAAATTACTCTTCGTAAAAACTACTCAAATTACAAAATTACAAATTACTTTTTTAGCTTGGCGGTATTGGTGGAATTATCCATAAATCCGGAGTCAGACAAGATCCAGGCAGTAAAACACAGTTTACATAACACATCTAAAGATACTATAAACACTTTTTAAACTGTGTAAACAGCATTAATTATAGATTATAATTATAGAGCACCTATAGAGGAAACCCATGCCAACATGGGGAGAACATGCAAACTCCACACAGAAACACCAACTGACTCAGACAGGGCTTCAACCAACAAACTTTTTGCTTTGAGGCGATAGCGATACCCACTGCGCATCATGATTATTTTACAAAAACAATGTTTTGCTATTTTGAGTATAAAGATAACAGAAATATGCACAAATGCACGACTTTTTATCATTTCAAATGATGCCTCTTTTATCTGTACGATCAATAGATGATTTTATATATAAAAAAAAAACTCTTGCAAATTATGGAGAAACCTTGGTAATTACCTAATTCGCGAACTGAACCGTCAGAAACCACAAAACAACACTGCCTAGTGCCTAAACATATTATTAATAAATTAAATATCACACAAATTAAGTTGTCTTCTTACCATAATGTTTTTTTTTTCAGATTATAGACTAAAGTCTTGTAAAAAAAAAAAGGGTTTCTGCAGATATCATAATGTCAAATTTAAGACTTTTTAAGACTACGTCATATCTTTAATATTGTTCAAGATTTTAAAAATAATTATTTTTCATTATTTTTATAATTTATTATGATTACAAAGTTGGGTGACGGGGTGGGGCAGTGGGTAGCGCTCTCGACTCAAGGCAAAAAGGTCGCTGATTCAAGCCTTGGCAGGGTCAGTTGGCATTTCTGTGTGGAGTTTGCATGTTCTCCCCGTGTTTGCATGGGTTTGCTCAAGATGCTCCGGTTTTCCCCACAGTCCAAACACATGCATTTTAGGTGAATTAGGTAAGCTAAATTGTCTGTTGTTGTAAATGAGAACGGGTTGCAGCTGGAAGGGCATCCGCTGTGTAAAACATATGCGGGATAAATTGGCGGTTCATTCCGCTGTGGCGACCCCAGATTAATAAAGGAACTAAGCCAAAAAGAAAATTAATGAATGATTATAAAGTTTTATAACTTTTCAAGATTTTTTAAATCAAAGTTTGATGTATCACTCACTTTAGTTTATATCACGGACAGTTCTACCTGTTAAAGTTAAATATCAATGACAACAGAACATGGGTTACTCTACAATTATTATTTTTTTATTCTGGCAAGAATAATAGCAAAAAAAATTTTTTTTGCCCACTCAACAATTGACACATTATTGTCTGGCTAGTTTCTGTCCTCTACTAATGAGTTGAAAAGGCAATAATGGTCCAACAATCCTGTCCATCATCACCAATAAAGCCTAGAAATTGGGCTTCAGTATACTGTAAGCTGATGGGTTCATATATTATTTTCCAGTTATCAAATACTTAATTTGTTACTTAATTTTTGTTACATTGCTTTAACTTCAAAATGATCCATCAGTGTAAAACCTATAAATGGTGGAAAAACATATTCTGTAATCTTAAAACCACCTGGGTCTCCACTTTTGCCATGGCCTCTTTTTTGTTGTAACAAACTTATCCCCCAGGTTTTTCCAAACTTTAACAAAACACTTCCTTTCCATGGCTGTTGCAATTTCTAGCCAAGAATTATCGGTCATCTGGTTATCTCTTCGTCCACGCATACAGTCGTACTGTTACAGACAAAATCTCTTCAAAGTGATTCAAATTCAACTCAAATCAAGCGCGGCGCCGCGCGAACTGTTCACCCGAAATCATGTCGCGCGCATCCAAAGTGAACCTCCGCAAACACGGCGATGACGTCACATTTGCCGCGCGCACTGAGCTATTGCATGCTGGGCTTATTTGTAGTTTTAATACTGCAAATTACAATAGGACTAGTGAAATAAAGAACTACACCACCACGAAACAAAGCAACAACAAAAAAATAATTTAAATGAGCATTAGAAGTAGCGTTACAATGTACATCGGAAAAATAAGACATGTGCAAACATATTTCAGATCTAGAACAGCGAATTTAAGACTTTTAAGGGCTAAAATTTAGATGTTTATATTTTAGACATTTTAAGACCCCACGGAAACCCTGTAAGCCGGATGGCACAGCAGAGGGCAGGTTTCATCCACTTATTTTTGCGCTTTTTGGATATGCACATAAAACGGTTGATGGAAACGCTATAATGCGCATATATTTTGAAAATGTGTGTGAATGGACAAACCAGCAGGCTAAGCACATTGTAAAACATCTAAAGTGTTGTTTTGGTCATTCTAAACCACCTCAACCATTTCAGTATTATATTACATTAATAATGACCTCCAGAATTGTCAAGAGTTACTGCACTCCGTGTCTCGCGCCTTCAAACGCCAGCGCGCGTTCACTGCGTGCAGGATTGACTTCTGATGCGCAAGTCACTTATTAAATGAAGATAATTTATTCACGCAGCTGCTCCTACTGATGCTAATTCTGTTTTTACTTTTGATATTTGTCGCCAGTTAATCAGAAGGTGGCAATTTTGTTCTCTTTGACTTGATGGACAGAAACGCTGCTTTATTTGCAGTCTTTTATGCGATATTCCAGTTTTGGGCATATATTTAATAAGCATTTTAGATGATAACATAGCTATTCACATCAGCACATCTGTCCTCTTTCTTCCCTATGTACCTGTAGGTGAACAGCTCCTCCGGGTGTGGCCATGCATTCATCCTCTGCTATTTCTTCCTCATTTCTTCTGTCTTAAATCTCCATAAGTCAATTGATAACTTTGTGACTGTATGATGACGGTCACGTAAATCTGCAGTAGCCTGAACTTGTTTTTCGGTTCAAATAATGTACCAGGCTTTTCATTGGTCCGTTAAGATCAGCTTTTTTTATTGGCTACCGAAATGCTGGTCAGTGCGTGGCTGAAATATTAATTTATTGACAGTACTCTGTAACGAATTGTGTTTATAAAAGTAACGAAGTAGATTACTCAGCTTAATTTGTACTTAAGTACAAGTAAAATTACAGGCTTAAAATTCTACTCTTGAAAGTACAATTACACCAAAAATGTACTTAATTACAGTAACGTGAGTAGTTGTAATTCGTTACTCCCACCACTGCAACCCAGTACTGGGAAACATCCATACACACTCATTCACAGACACACACTCATACACTACGGCCAAATTAGTTCACCTATAGTGCATGTGGTTTGACTGTAAGGAAAACCGGAGCACCCGGAGGAAACCCATGCCAACACGGAGAGAACATGCAAACTCCACATAGAAATGCCAACTGGCCCAGCTGGGACTCTGTGCTAATCACTGAGCCACCGTGTCGCCCTTTTTACATATTTAATGATACAAACACATGCACTATAGCTTAACTGAATGAACTAACTTGGCCGTTGCGTATGTGTGTGAATGTGAGAGTGTATGGGTGTTTCCCAGTACTGGGTTGCGCCTGGAAGGGCATCCGCTGCATAAAACATATGCTGGATAAGTTGGTGGTTCATTCCACTGTGGTGACCCCTGATAAATAAAGGGACTAAGCCGAAGCAAAATGGATGAATAAATGTGTAAAAATTGTAATAACATTATGAAACATGTCAACAGTGTCAACCAGAATAACATAAGTTCCACAAAGTGCAGCATCAACATCATAAAACCAAGCAGGCTGCTCAAAAACATTTTATTATGTATGTGATACAAACTAGAGAAAATAAAACTTCTACAAAACAGAAAAGCTACACCTTCATATCACATCTCCACACAAGAGGATTCAAGTATTCAGAGTCTAAAATAAAACACTGCAGCTCCCAGTGGCAGAAACAACCACAAGAAATATCCTGTTTATCAGATTCAAGACTGTGCAAAATGCAGCGCCACAATGCAAAGGTAACGTGTTGAAGGTTTTCTGAATGGTTTCTGGCCTGTAGATTTGGCTTTAGAGGGAGTAATTAATCGGTTTTACTGTGGTATAGTACATGAGTGACAGCAATAATGGCATTTACTGAAGGTCTGAGGTATTTTAGAACAAAGATATGAATATTGAAAAAGCACCAATGTTTTCAGAAAGTGCCCTGATGCGCTGAGAATCTTGAACACGCTGTAAAACAGGATTTGCATATATTAAAGGGGTCCTATTATGCTTTTTAAAATTCCCATCATTAATATTATTATTAAGACAATATCGAGGTTTTAGCTCAAAATACCTTATGGATTATTATTATTATTATATAATGCTATAAATGGGGTTTTTAATAAGCAAATACATGCAGTTTTTTGTGCATCTTTAAATGCAAATAAGCTGCTGCTCCCCGCCTCCTTTCAAGAAGAGGGCGGAGCCTTTACAACACAATATGGGCATGTGTTTTAAAGACTTGTCAGTTAAACTCCTGAAATATGGTTTCTGACTGTCCAGTGCAATACGTTAGTCTAAGCAAAATCAGAGCTTACTGTCCTAATGAAATCATTTAAAATCAAGACATGATCATATTTTATTTTGGTAAGATAAATGTAATCTAGAGGCGTTTGCCTTTCATAGACACTTCTGATACCACATGATCAGCTAGAAGTCAAGCTATTATTTATTGTTCCTAAAACTTAAACAGGTGACAACTTTTGTCAGGTAGTGTATAGTGCTTTTAATGCAATTAGGTTCAGGTTTCCATCATTTTATTTTAGTAAATTATACTAAATTTAAGTATTTTGTCGGCTTAAATTAAGTTTATTTTGAGTTTTTTTTTTAATTTTCTAATTGTCTTTTGTTGTTTGTTTAATTATTTAATATGAGTGAAAATGTTAGGATTAAATGCATATTTATTATATCATGCATTTGTCATGCATTTTGTTGAACTTTCACATATTTGCTTTTATATTTTTCTTCTAGATAAAGTTTTCTTTTAGTTTGTCTGGAGTAAAAATTATTATTATTATTTAATTATTATTATTATATATTATTTTTATTGTTATTATTATAAACTATAATAATAATAATAATAATAATAATAATAATAATTATTATTATTATTATTATTACTGTTATTATTATTACTACTATAAATTATTATTTTTATTATTATTATTTATTTATTTATTATTATTATTATTATTATTATTATTATTATTACTGTTATTATTAATTACTATTATTATTATTACTATAAATTATTATTATTATGTTACTAAAACTTGGATAGGTGACAAGACTTTAGTCAGGTAGTGTATAAATGCACGGCGGTCAACATTGCTACAACATTGCATAGACAACATTGCTAATGCAACCGAAAGTATAAAACAAAACACAACAGAACCCCTTTAACACATGAACTAATCTATTAACTAGTAATTCCTGGACGTCTGGAGTCTAATGTGCACAGAATACAAATACTCAGACTCAATTTTTAATATTAGTAGTCTTTTAAATTGGCCTGTTTTTTTTTTTTTTTTTTGAGCTTGTAATTTAAACAAACGTTGACACAAATGCAGCTTTATAATGTAACAAGTACAAATATTCTGGAGCTCTAGGAGTTCAGAATTATGTAAACACTTATTTCTTTTCTAGCTTTTTTTTATTATTCTTACTTGTGTATCTTATTCAATTAAAGTCACTGGGATTTTTTAATGTAACCATATTGTATTTTCCATCTTTCTAGGAGCTCAGAATTATGTAAACAATACATTTCCCCCCTATTTTAGTCTTTATATACATATTTTCCCTAAAGAAACACATTCATTGACTATTTTTGCCTTATTTGTCATAGAAAATGAAGTTATAAATAATCAAAAACATTAAATACAGTACATCCACTATAATATTAACGTTTATTTAAAAAACAAAACAGTCATATGTACAGGTAGTGTTAGGATAATTCCCTTCAGTTGTCGCTGTGCTGGAGCGAGCGAGGTGTGTGTGAATGAGGTGTAAAAATGAGTGTGTGTATTGCGTCTCATGAGTTTACATTGGTTTTCGTGGAGTTTTTCCTCAACAGCTCAGTCCATCTCCTCTGGAAAAACCTCCGCATCGCGTGTCCTGCTCGGCCGATGACTGAATGATCCTCGTTGAATTTCTCGCAGTTATCAAACACCAGGTTCACGTCGATAATAAAAGTCTCAAGATTCAAGTACCTGCAGGAGGAAATGGCGATGTGTGATTATTAAAGGTGATGTAATGCACATTGTTATGTTAACTTGCACTGTAAGGTTCACCATAAATGCATTGATATGTTGGTTCATTTAAGTTGATTATATACTTCTGAGATATTCACTTTGTGTGTGTGTGTGTAAGAAGTATTTTGAGTCTACTGGACTCCAAATTTTGTCTAGTCAAAATGATGTTTCTATTGAAAATAAAATGAAATAAATTAAAAATTATTTTTTTACGACTACAGTGATTAAAATGATGGTTCCATTAAAAAACAAAAAATATATACTTTATTATTATTATTATTACTGCAATATATTTTGAATACGTTTAAGCAAAAATGAGAAGCTAAAATGTGAGTTCAAAAGGTAAAGCAAAGCAAAATAAATAAATAAAATAAAAGTGAATAAAATATAAATATGAAAATAACTATAAATTACAGTACAATAAAATTTAATTAAATACAATAAAATAATTATATAAAATAAAAATTAAATGATAAGTACATAACTAAATTTTTAAAAATCATAAATATTGTCTACAGTGACCGTAAAAACATATATTAATATAAAATATAAAATATAAAATATAAATTAAAATAAAATAACAAAAAAAATCTTAAAGTAATAAATAAATAAATAAATAAATAACACAAATAAAACTAAATTCATGATTACAATTTTATTAAAATATTGGTAAATTAAACATAAAAATGTATACTTTTATTATTATTATTTTAATATTATCATTATTATTATCGTTATTTTTAATATAATAATAATTATTATTATTTTTGCAAAATATCTTGAATCTGACCAAAATGACTGGTTAAAACTTGAGTTCAAAAAGCAATGCAATGCAAAAAATATATGAATAAAAATAAAATAATACATATAAATATAAAGGTAATATTAAATTATAAATTAAAATATAATAAAAGATTGTGACAAAAACTCAAGTAATAAATAAAATAAAAAACACGAATAAAATTAAATTCATATTTTTCAACAACAGTGAATGTTTGATTTAAATTATGGTTTTGTTAAAACAAACTAAAAATGTATATTGTTATTATTATTATTGTAAAATATCTTGAATCTGTTTGACTAAAATGAATGGTTAAAACTTGAGTTAAAAATTAATGCAAAGCAAAACATATATAAATAAAAATAAAATATTAAATTACAATAAAGTAAAAAAAGTAGATAAATAATAAACTAAATAAATACAAATAAAACAAATTCATATTTTCTGGCTACAGTGACTTTTTGATTAAAATTATGGTTTCATTATAACACCTCAGAAAAAGTACATTTATATTATTATTATTGCAATTTATCTGTTAAACTAACTACTGAAAAATTTTTGAACTCACGTTTTAACCAATGCAAAGTGAAAAAGATTTACAAAAATATATGAATAAAATATAAACTAAATTACAATAAATTAAAATTAAACAATAAATAAATAATAAGTAAATACATAAATAATTGCAAATAAAACTAAATTTATATTTTTGAACTACAGTGACTGTTTGATTAAAATTATGGTTTAATTAAGAAACAAAATGTATTGTTTTTTTATTATTATTGCAATATATCTTAACTCTGTTTGACTAAAAATAGCTGTTTGAAACGATGAGTTCAAAAATCAATGCAAAGCAAAAAATAAATAAATAAAATATGAAAATAAATACAAAAATAAAATATTAATTAATACTAATTAAATCAAATTAAATAAAAAAATAAATAAGTTAATAAATACAAATAAATCTAAATGTATATTTTTCAACTAGAGTGACTGATTAAAATGTTGGTTAATTAATATAATAATAATTATTATTATTTTTGCAAAATATCTTGAATCTGTTTGACCAAAATGACTGGTTAAAACTTGAGTTCAAAAAGCAATGCAATGCAAAAAATATATGAATAAAAATAAAATATTAAATTACAATAAAGTAAAAAAAGTAGATAAATAATAAACTAAATAAATACAAATAAAACAAATTCATATTTTCTGGCTACAGTGACTTTTTGATTAAAATTATGGTTTCATTATAACACCTCAGAAAAAGTACATTTATATTATTATTATTGCAATTTATCTGTTAAACTAACTACTGAAAAATTTTTGAACTCACGTTTTAACCAATGCAAAGTGAAAAAGATTTACAAAAATATATGAATAAAATATAAACTAAATTACAATAAATTAAAATTAAACAATAAATAAATAATAA